TGCTGTTTGCTCAGGTCTGGTGGTCCGCCCCCTCTCCACCCACACCTTGTCTGGGCCCCTCGCTGGGGCTGGGTTTCCCCGCACGGCAAGCAGGGTGCACTGTGGGTAACCCAGATGCTAACCATCTAAGTGTGGCTACACGTTGTCTGGTCATTAGCGCTTAGTATGTGCCAGGTGGCTGCATTTACCGCCTTCTACTTTTTAAACACTCAAGAGGCCTTCACTATGTGCCCAGCCTGTTCTATCAGAGCTTGGCGAAGTGCAGGGGCCTCCGTCATTAGCAGAGGAGGGATTTCAACTCAGACCTTCAGGCCTCCGGCCCTCACGCTGGAGGAAGACACCGCATCCATACCCCGCGCCCCGCCCCACCCATGGCCCCCAGCGCCTTGCTCCAGCCCCTTCATGTGCGCAGCTGACCCGTACCCCAGACTGCAGGCCCCGCCTCCCAGCATCTGCCCAGCTCCTGCAGGACAGCCTTCTGCGTCTCTGCAACGCCTACTCGTCCTACAGAGCCCAAGCGGTCTGACCCAGCCCCACCCCCAGGCAGCCTGGCTGTGCCCGTCCCTCGGCGTGGGGGTCCCCGAGGGCCGGCGGAACTGAGGCCTCTGCCCCTCCCCCACCAGCGCGACCACCCCCCCGCCCCACTCACCTCTACGAAGTAGAAGCAGGGCAGAAGCGTCATGCTGTCCTTCGAGCTTTTATTCTTCTCGTTGGTCGAGATCATGGTGCCGGGGGCGCCACAGGCCGTGGTGGGAGGGGACAAAGCCGCGCTGCAGGAGGGAGGGGCGCAGGCTGAGCCCTGGGGGGAAGCGGAGCCCGGCGCCCGCGGAGGGGGGGCGGGCCAGGATGCGCAGGAACCGCCCAGGGAAACTGAGGCCGGGGAGAGGGGAGCCCGCGGCCTCCCCCGCGCGCTGCGGCCCTGCCCGACGCTCCGGCTGCCACTCCGGATGGGGAGCCGGGAGGGGGCTCGGCAAAGAGGGCGGAGACGGCCTGGCCTCCGGGCCTCCGGGCCGGGGTCCGTCCCGCGCGTCAGGGCGGGGGCCTTCGGGACCGGAGGAGCGGTGGGGGTCCTCGCCCAGCCCGAGGGCCCCTCACCTGGCGCGCCGGCGTCCTGTGGGCGGAGCTGGCGGCGACGGGGGCTGCGGCGCGGCTAGCACAAAGCCGGCCCCTCCCCCGCGGGGGCGGAGGGGAGGCGGGGAGGGAGGGGCCCCGCCCGGCCCGAGACCCCGCGCCCGGCGGCCTAGAGGCGGCGCTAGGGGCGGGGGCTCTTTGTTTCGACGCGTCGGGGGCGCCGCGCGCGTGCGTCCGTCGCCGTCCCCGCGCCCCGTGCTCCCGCCCCCTCAGTCTCTGGGTCTGCGGGGTCTCGGTCTCCCGCCGGGGCGGGCATGGGCCGGGGTTTGCGGGCTCCTCCCCTCCCGGACCTCTCGGATGGGCCCGGGGAGCCCCATCGAGGCCGGGCGCTGGGAGAGTGTCCTGGTCTCCGGGTTTCTCGCCTCTCTGCCCCCCTTCCCCGGCGCGCCTTTCCATGGCGAGCTCCCGGGCGCCCGAGCCTTCGGGAGACAAAAGAAGCTGGGGGGTGGGGGGCCGCCCTCACTCCCGGGCCCCCGCACCGCGCACCGCCCACCTGTCCCCTGCGCCCCGCCGGGGTCCTCCGCTCCGCTCGTCCAAACCCGGCCCCTCGCCGGGCCCACAGCATCCAGGACGCACGGCCCTGGATGCCCCGGGATGCGCGGGCGGCGGTAGGGCCCCCGTGGTGAATTCACGTGAGGCTCACTTAGGCAGCGCTTGCTCTTTGCAGGTGTTTCCACACACAGCCATGTGGGGTGGGACCAGCTGACCGTCATTTGACAAGTTGGGAAGCTGAGGCCCCCGGGAACTTAAATCTCTGTCCACGGTCTCCAGGCCCCGCTGAGAACTGGAACAGACCCCCCAAAATCCCGCAGTTAAGCGTCCAGTTAAGGTCGGGGGTGAGGGCTGCACGGATGGATAACCTGGTGTGTGCAGCCACTGGGCTTTATTCGCACGCAGCTGTTCACACTCCAACCTGGTCCTGGCCGTGGCCCTTCTTGTTTTAAGAGACTCAGCTGCATGTGTCTTCAAAGGTGACTGTATGCGCGGTTAAGGGTTTGAATCCCACCGGGGCCTCCATTTGCTCACCTGGAAATGGGCATAACAAGGCCACTTTGCGCATGGGGCACACCGGAGCTCTCTGTCCTGCCTCCCCAGGCCTGATGCCCACTGGGCCTCGGTTTCCCTGCCAGCCAGGGGCGGAGCCAGGGCTGGGCAGACGTTGGGAATCCCGGCGTTGAAAGGTGACCACAAACAGCCCTCAGGAGGCGGGAGGAGGGGAAAATGGGGCAATCGCTCTTGGGGGCCTCCTGGGGGGGGCAGGAGCAGGAAGGGGTGTCCTGGGAGACCCTCCTGACAGTTCAGGGCAACAGGAGAGGGTCTGGGGGAATATCCGGAGCCGGGGTGGGGGTCTTCTTCCTGTCAATCCCCAGTGGTGGAGGAGCCAGGCCCGGCTGTGATGGCACATGGCCCAGCAGTGGGGCCTGGACTTGCTTCTTGGGCACTAGGGAGCCATGGCGGAGTTTAGAGCAAGGAGGAGGGATTGAGCACGCTGCTGCTCAAAGACTCTTGCACGTATTAACCCACTCGATGCTCACCACAGCTCTACTGGGGGTGCGGCAGGAACTGTTCACGTCCTGGTACCCAGACAGGGAAACAGGGCCGGAGAGGGGCCCTTGAGGCCACCCAAGTAGGAAGGGATGGACCCGTGGGCTCTGGAGTCACCCATCTCTCTGGCTGTGCTCTGTGCAAGACAGCAGCCTGGTCCACGGGCAAGGACAGGGTGGGCGGCAAGTTGGGGCCTCAGGAGGGAGGACGCACCGGTGGGATCCAGGGAGAGTGGAGACGGGAGGCAAACTTGGGGGGACACTGGTCTGAGGCAGAGGCCATGCAGGGGACACAGCTGGGCGGTGGGACCGTGAGACTCGGCAGGGACCAGGCCTGAGCCCCAGGACCCCACCCTTCAGGCTGGGTGGAGGACTGCAAGTCTGCCCTGACCCCTGCTCCCGCCACCCTCCACAGTCCTGCCCTGCAAGAGCCCCCCCCCCAAGGCCCCAAACAGGAACTGGTGTCCTAGTGTCCTGAGACATGGGGTCCACCACCAGCCCCAACCTCTTGGTGTCTCCTTGGAAATAAATCCTATTTTTTTTTAAATTGAGGTGTCAAAAATAAGTAAAAGTAAAAATAAAAATTAAAAATTGAGGTGAAATTCACATGACATAAGATCAGCCATCTTAAAGTATCACATCCGCTGGTTTTTGGAAGGAACATTCACAGAGTTGTGCAACCAGCTAATTCTAGAACATTCCATCTCCTCCAAAGAAACCCCATTTCCTTCAGCTATTATTCCCCTAACCCCCTAACCCCCCAGCCCCTGACAACCAGGAACCCACTGTCTGTCTCTGTGGATCTGCCTGATCTGGACGTTTCCCATCAATGGAATCACACACTGTGTGTCCTTCTGTGTCTGGCTTCTCCCACTGAGCATCATGTTCTCGGGGTCTATCCACGTGGTAGCGAGTGTCAGAGCTTCACCCCTTTTCACGGCTGAGTGATGCTCCCATGTGTGAAGGGACACGTCTGTCTGTTGAAGGGCATTTGTGTTGCGTCCACCATTTGGCCACTGTGAACACACGTGTGCAGGTATCTGAGACCCTGTCTTTCGTTCTCTTGGGCACGCACCTAGGAGTGGAACTGCTGAGTAATATGATAATTCGGTGATTAACGTTTTGAGGAGCTGCCAGGCCTTCCCCAGCCACGGCACTATTTTACATCCCTGCCAGCCTGTCTGAGGTTCCAATTTCCCACCTCCTCACCAACACTATTTTTTCTGCCCTTTTCATTCCAGCCATCCTAGTGGGTATGAAGTGGTGTCTCGCTGTGGTTTTGATTTGTGCATTTCCCTGATGACTAATAATTTTGAGCATCTTTTCACGGCATGTTGGCCATTTGTGTATCTTGGGAGAAATGTCTATTCAAATCCTTTGTCCATTTTTAAGTGGATTGTTTGTCTTTTTGTTGTTGAGTTGTGAGAGTTCCTTATATATTCTGGATACTCAACCCTGTCTTTCTCTCCCCTTGGCCTCATCTCTTGCCCAGGTTCTGAGTGCCTGAAACCTCTGAAGACCCTGCTTCGAGGACAGGGAAGGGGAGACAACCTCTCCAGGACCACTTGGCTCTGGGGGCTCCATGGCCGCACCTGCCCACTTTAGAGATGCACAGACTGAGGGCGGGAGAGTGACCTGGCCAGGTGCCCACAGATAAAAACCCTGTAAGTGAAAAGCTGGACACAGAAGACACGCAGTGTGTGATTCCATTGATGGGAAACGTCCAGAACAGGCAAATCCACAGATGGAGAGTGGGTTCATGATTGTCAGGGGCTGGGGGATGGGAGGGGGAGTGACTGCTGATGGGGCCGGGGCTTCTTTTGAGGTGATGGAACGTTCTAAAATTGGGGTGGTGGCTGCGTAACTCTGTGAAGATACTAAAAACGATGGAATTGCACAATTTAAACAGATGAATTGTGTGGTACTCGAATTATATCTCAATAAAGCTGTTTAAAAAAAATAAAAAGCAGTAAAAACACACACATGGAAAAGCCAGCAGGACTCAGTCCCAGGACAGGTGGGCAGTGGTGGAACCCCCAGCACTCAGGCCAGAAAGCCAAGCGGAGCCCCCATTGTGAGTGGCACGGCTGGGTGTCAGCCTCACCCACATCTGATGGGTCACCCACCGTACAGAGGGGAGGATGGGGCACAGGGTGGGCAGTTGGAGGGCCCAGGCAGGCCCCAGGAGCGGTTGGCTCTGGAGGCCTTGGGCAACTTCCCCTGTTCCTGACGGGAGGGGCCGGGCCCTGGGTCGGGGGTGTGCCGATGGCCAAGGCCCCAGGTATAAGGGCGCCACCATCCCAGCCACCCCCATCGGCCCCCATCATGACGGCACTCAGACTCCTGGGCCTGCTGGCCGGCCTGCTGGCGACCTCCAGGGCTGGTGAGTGCCTGCCCCAGGCCAGACGTCCCCATCCATGCAGGGATCCAGCTGCAGGGGACAGGCCCTGGTGGAAGGGACCAGTGGGCGCCAGCCCCTGCTTCCCTGGACTCAAGGCTCAGGGAGGGAAAGCGACCTGGCCCAGGCCGCACAGCCAGGCTGGCCCTGACTAGCCCTGGGAGGGTGGGTCCCTGTCCTTTTTAGGGAACAGGGGGGCGGGAGGCCGGGGTTGGGGCTGAAACCGGGGGAGCTGCAATGCACCCTCTCCCCAGGCTCGGCCCCCCTGGCGGACATCGTGGGTGGCAGGAAGGCCCAGCGGCAGGAATTCCCATTCCTGGCCTCCATTCAGACCCAAGGGCGGCACTTCTGCGGGGGCGCCCTGATCCACCCCGGCTTCGTCCTGACAGCCGCCAGCTGCTTCCAAAGCCGGTGAGGAGGGAGCCACAGGGTGGGGAGGGGGGCTCGGAGAGGGAGAGAGCTGGGGGATTCCTGGGGGAGCGGTGCCTGGTAGGTGAGGAGAGGGTCTTGGCGAGGGGGAGGGGTCTTAGGAAGGGTTGAGGGGCTTGGAGAGGGAAATGGGGGGACCCAGGATAGGAAGGGGGCCCAGGAGGGTCTCGATCTGGAAACAGAGGGGAGATAACGGCTGCAGAAGGAAGGAAGGAGGTTTGACCATCCCTGCTGTCCTTCCTTTGGCTCCTGGGCTGTGGTTCAGCGGGCTAGGAATTCCCTGCCTTATTTGCAAAGCTGCTCTCCATCCATGCCCGGGCCCTGGGGTGGGTGTGGAAGGTTAGGGACTTCCCCACAAGCCCCCAGGACTGCCCCAGCCTGGTGTCTGCCCCCACCTGCTCTTAGCAACACCAGGATCGCCACTGTGGTGCTGGGGGCCTACAACCTGAGGCGAAGGGAGAGGTCCCGGCAGACTTTCTCCATCAGGAGCATCAGTGAGAATGGCTATGACCCCCAAGAGAACCTGAACGACGTGCTGCTGCTGCAGGTGGGGAGAGGGGTGGGGGGGCTGACAACGGCCTGCGGGGCTCAGGAGGGATGAGCCACGGGGACGGAGCCTGTGGTTAAATCATACAGCCAAGTGCACAATCCATTTAGCTAGCCTCTGGATCCTGGACACAGTAGCTGGGCTAACTTACCCTCCCCACCAGCAGCATTTAAAACTGCCCATTTCTCTACGTCATTACTGACACTGCATAATATGATTTTTAAAAATTTTCTGTCAGTAGTGACGGGGGATGGTACCTTGTTTTATCTGCACTTTCCTGGGCAAGCTCTTCACCTTCAGGGTCTCTCAAACCACCTTTGCGATAAGAACGACTGATTCCTTCTCTGGAGGAACCAGAGGCCCAGCGAGGTAAAGTCACTTGGCCAGGACCCCACGGCCAGTTACTGCCTAAACTGGCCAGGACCCAAACCACTTTACAGACCAAAACTCATGTAGCTGCCGCCCTGGCTCCCAGCTGGGCCCCGTGAGGCTCTGGTCCCCAGCTCCGCCCTCTCCTGACTCAGTTTCCCTCCCCAGCTGGACCGTCAGGCCAACCTCACCAGCAGCACCGTGGCAGTGGTACCACTGCCCCCACAGAATGCCACGGTGGAAGCTGGCACCAACTGCCAGGTCGCAGGCTGGGGCGCCCGAAAGCATAGAGGGCGTCTCTCCCGAGTCCCAAGGGTCGTGAACGTCACTGTGACCCCGTCAGACCAGTGTCGCCCGAACAATGTGTGCACCGGTGTCCTTACCCGCCGGGGTGGCATCTGCCAGGTACGGGCTGGGTGTGACCTGGGGTGGGCTCCAGGTGGTGGGAAAAGCAAGGACAAGTGCCAAGCTCTGGGCTGGGGGCTGGAAACACGACAGGGAACAGGACAGGGTAGGGTCTGCCCGTTTGGAGCCAGGGGCTCCCAGACCTTGTGTGTAG